GTAGGCCATCCGTTGGCCTTTTGGACCAAAAAATAGCAGGAATAAACCCTGTGGTGCCATGAGACTTCCTACAGGGTTCCCACTCAGGCAGCTTTGCACTTCCTGAATGAGCATGCTTGTGAAAAATGTCCCTGAAGAGGGATGAGGAAGAGAAGGTGGGAAGGATATATAGAAATAAAGATACATCGCCTTGCTACTATGCTGAGGACCCACTGGCCTGACATTATAAAAGCTCAGCCTTAGAGGACAGAGGACAAGCAGTTGGAAAAATAACAGGGGAGCTGTGCATGCCAGGATCTTAATCTGATTTTGAGAGATATGGCCAAGTCTTCTGCAGAAGCTACTGTTTTTTGGTTTGCTGCAAGGCATTTATGTGCTCTTTTCAGCATCCACTCGATGGCAAATATTCAAAGCACGTTAGTGGTATTACCATTAATTCTCTGACATGCTGGGAAAACAGGGTAGAAAGTGTAAAAATGTTGAGAGAGCAATCCCTGGAAGCTTATGAAGCACTGATTTCTATTTTAGAAGCCAGGAGATCCAAAAACTTTAAAAAAGTGAAGCATAGTCATTGGCCTCTGAAATACTTAGCTTCTAGTTTCTAACAATTGTTGTAGTCTGGTATGACATTCTTATTAAAATCTCAAATGTCAACAAAATAATGCAGAGTCCAGTGATGCAACTTGATTCAACACTTACCTTACTAAACACAAGAGTTTTTAGTGAAATACACAGAAAATTGATTCAAAGCAGTACAGGTTGCTTTAAGAGTTTGCAGAGGCACTGTGTAGAACAAAAAATTATTTGTTACTCGTTCTTGCCCTATTTTAAACCTCAGAATCTACCTCTTTTTACTGATGTTCACTATGTTAGACGTCCAACCGCTACTAAACTTTTGGGTGAAAAAGTCACTTACCAGTTCCACCATTTTCACATTTCCTGTTATTGCCTCTTTCACCTCACTGAATAACAGGCCTATCCCATCCTCTCTCTTCCTTGCCTGCTTGTGTTTATATTAATCCTTTGTCATTTGAACCAAGGTCTAAATAAACACATGGGCTGTGTCTACACTGGGCCACTTATTCCGGAAAAGCAGCCGCTTTTCCGGAATAAGCTGCGAGCTGTCTACACTGGCCGCTTGCTTTTCCGGAAAAGCAACGACGACCTACTGTACAAAATCAGCCACTATTCCGGAAAATCTATTCTGCTCCTGCTCGGGCACAAGTCCTTATTCCGGAACACTGTTCCGGAAAAAGGGCCAGTATAGACAGCCCAGTAATCTTTTCCGGAAAAAAGCCCCGATCGCGAAAATGACGCTCGGGGCTCTTTTCCAGAAAAGCGCGTCTACATTGGCCACATTTCCGGAAAAGCAGCCTGCCAATGTAGACGCTCCTTTTCCGGAAAAACTGAAAACGGAATAATATTCCGTTTTAAGCATTTCCGGAAAAAGGTGCCAGTGTAGACGTAGCCATGTAGTAGATATCATATTATGATAGGTAATTTCCCATTCAGGTACTCTCACCTCACTACTGTTGGAGATAAGCCACATCCATCAGATTTAACTAGCACTTCGTAAGATAATACATAACTAGTTATAGTGAGGGGTACAGCTTGTCCTGGAAGAAAAACCATGAGGCAGGTGATAGGGAGGGGAGTGTTGCCTTGTGTATCAAAGGTATAGGCACTTGGAGTGAGGTTGAGATACAAATATGACTCGTTGAAAGTTTCAACATAAAAATAAAAGGGGCAAAATCCCCTTTCCCCACAGGGTAGTGTCTTAGGAAGATCTGCTCAGGAAGTAAAGGTGGATGTGACTTTTTAAAAACAACTTCAAAGAAGAATCAGCTGATTTGATCTCTGATGGATCATGGCCCCATTGACCAGCAAAAAGGTGGAAAGTAGTTTGTGGATGATAAACCTCTCAATCCAACAAGACAATTTAAGTTTTAGATGCATTTTCACTTTTATTAGCTTGCAACTTACTCTCCCTTCTATTCTGTATTACATGAGCCATGTTCTTCTATTAATAAATTTATTTTACCTCTACTATAAATTCATGCAGTTCTGTTTTAAAGGGAAGGGTGTATTTAGACCAGCAAATAAGCTGTGAGAACAGCAAACTTGTTATCCTCTGTGAATGCAGAAATAATAGTTGTGCACAGAATCAAAACATTTTTTAGGAGCTTAGACACTGGAATTCACTGCTACCGGAAAGGCAAAGTTTGAGCGGGGAAGATCTTTTGAATTTTCCTGGGTACGGCAGAGGTCTGACAGTCTACTCATCAGCAAAACTCATTGAGGTGGAGAGGTAACAGAGAATCACAACTCTGTATATCCCCAAATGACTTGGCAATGGCAATATAGTATTATCCGTATCTTCATTAGAGTCCAATTCTAAGCTTGCATACATTTAGCAAAGTTTAGTAGTTCTGATGTCTGTTTCCTCAGTCTCCCTTCCTATTCACTTTTTTTTTGCAATTTCTATAGCTAAGACTATCTTTGCTAACTTCATGAATTGTCTCTGAATTGTCTCAAAATAGTTATGAGTCAAGTAGTCCTCCATTTTTGCTCATACTGAAACATTTTGATTTAAAGTCACTGTCCTAACTCAGTTCACTTGAACTCCAGCCAGCCAGATCAAGAGACAGTGTAATGAACTAGGCATGTTTGTTTTTTTTTTAGGTGAACTACCAAATTAACCAACTTCTATCTAAAAAATCCCTTTGTTTGCTGAACTAACATGCAATTTTTATAGCTAAACAGGAATTCTAAAATTCCAAACTGTCAGTTTCTATTTGTGATAGCATAGGCAATAGCACAGAACTAAAATGAGCTTCTTTTGGTTTTAGTTCCTATAATAAAAATTAAGCATAATATATTCTGCAAATCTATTTTCAAATTGCTAAATATTTTAGTATTTTTCATTTGTATAGGTCCAATAATTTTATTTTCCCCTGATATTTACAAGTGTCCTATTCTAAACTAGTTCTCAAGTAATTTGCCAACCCTGCCCATTTGATGCTTTAAAGTTAAGAGAAAAAAAAATACATCAAGGGATTGGCGAGGGGGGGGGGGGAAGGGAATGGGCAGCGGGGCAAATTCCCTTCTAACCCCTGAAGGTGACCAAATGAAGCCATGAAAATGAGATTTTAAGAACACAAAATATTAAGGGATGGGATTCCAAGGGCTTTCCCATGCCTGTGGTGATGAGGCCCTGCAATCTCAAATTTAATTAAGGTATCAGCATTCCAAGTGGTCAACCCAAGTAAAACTACAACTAGACACACAGCAATTAAAAAAAAAAATCCCTCTCCATCCCAACTTCTGGAGTCACATTAACATTCACTTTGAATATACAATTAAAATATCAATGAGTTTCAATGTTTCTCAAAGAAAAAACAAAATCCTATAAATGGACTTCTATATGAGTTACATGAATCAGTTTAGTCAACATGGACGCTACAACAGCCATGTCTTTTTATAACTAAAATTTTATTAGCTCTAGTTTGGTGATCACTACATAGACACATTATGAATAATTTGTACAATTGTTTATTCTTTTAATCTTGTAAAAAACTGTCGTTTTAATGGACTTCACCTTAACTTGCATTAACAAAACTATCCTTTAAAATTGGACATGATGTACTAGTACCTTGCATACTGTCATACGAAATTAGGTCTGTTATACAGAGTTTTTACCTCTTCAGGGCTACAGCACTGCAGCAAACCATGTGCACATGTAGTTGTGCCATTATAAGGATTAGAAAAAATGCTATCTATGCCTACAGGAGAGTTTCTCCCATGGCAAATGAACTCAGCTTCCCCCAACGGGCAGTAGCTATGCGGATGGCAGAAGCTCTCCCATTGACATAGTTCTGGAAACATGAGTGTAGTTAGTATAACTGTGTTGCTTGGGGAAGAGGCGGTACATTTTCCAAATCCTTGAGCAGCAGAGTTATACTGATATAGGTTTGTAATATAGACCTGGGTTGAGTAACATCCATCTCCCTACACACCCAATAAAGGTTTCCAATCTTTCATAACCCAATTACAAGTTACTGGAAAAAAATAAAACGACTACTAAAAATGACTGTCACAGATAATACACAATTCCGAAAGGGAGAACCAACACCAAGCGACAGTTTCATTTAGAAGTAACTCTATATAGCCGATATAGATAAGTTAAAAATGTATTAACATTTTAACTACTTATGATTACAAAATTTTGTCTGTCTCATGCTTCAGATGCAACATCTATGGTCTGTTACTCACTTTAGTATTCAAGTACCAAACTGTCTAGTATTAAGATATTGTTGGCGGCTATACTTGATTGCTGAATAATGCTGAAGATTTTTGTAAAGCTCTAAGAACATGTGAATACCAAGTTGTTCCACATTGTTTTTCCATTCAAGACTATCTAGAGGAGGAACATGCTATAAACAGAGGAAAGTGAGAATTCTTTATCTCATCACATTCAGCTAATTGATTTTTCTAAGGTCATTCTGAATTCTAGATCTTCCCTGATACAAAGGAATGCTATATACCAGGGGTGTCCAAACTTTTTTCAAAGAGGGCCAGATTTGATGAAGTGAACATGCGTGAGGGCCGACCATTTTGCCTGACATTCTTTGAACCATTAAAATTAAATGCAAATTAACTATTTTATGCAAAGTTTATTGCAAACGGCATACTTTTCATTTCGTCACATGGATGACAAATCTAAACAGGTGTTAAATCACTCTGCCTTTCATATCTGAAGGCCAGATGAAAAAAAAATCCAGGAAGCTGAAATATATGTCAGGAACATTGTAAAGTACATTACATATTATTGGTAATAAAGGTTGTCTGTCAACTTTTAAGTTCAAAAAATATGAACAGGAACATAACACCAAGTATACATGTTGTGTCCAAATATATTTATAACTGATTTAGACCAACTGACATTAACTGAGATTTTACAATGTATTCATCTCAATACATATGAATTCGTTGGGGGCCATAAAAGATAGATATTGCCAAATTACCTGTGGGGCCGTATTAAACCGGAACACGGGCCGCAATTGGCCCGCGGGCCGGACTTTGGACATGCCTGATCTAATGGGATATAAAAACCTGTTCCTCACAGTCTATGGAATGTTAAGTAATGAGGATTACAAAGCCTTTCCCTAATCCAACATTCCATTATTTTCTGGCTATACAGGAAACAGACAACCAGTAGATTATTTTACCTCTTAAAAAAAAGCATATACACTTATCTAATCTAAAAAAGGGGGACTGTGGCAGCACTTCCTCCTTTTTAAAAGTGTGTTTTCTAAAACTACTAAAAATCTGCATTTACAAAATAGTTGATAAAAATATTCCTCTGAATTGTACAAGGAAAGCAGGTACTCAGACCACTGAGAAAAGACTTGGTAGAGATATTACTGAGACTTGGCTTCTTTCTCTCTTGCTGCATCAGACCCCGGAGCCTGAAAAAGGGGAGGGAGAATAAAGAACATTTAGTATAACAGTTCCCTGAAAATCTCAATGTTTTAGTTCACGCACAAGATTAACAGTTTAAAAAAAAAAAGTATGGTAGCTTCAGAAAAAAATTAACAAATCAGGTATATCTTAGAGCAAAATGATCAAATGTTTAGGATCATTAATTTTTCACACATTTTAATCCAGGGTTGTAACTAGGGATGTCAATGAGTAGTCAACTAGACAATTAACCAATAAGCCTAGAGTTATCGGTTAATCGAGTTAATAACTCATATTCCCCTTCCCCTTGCTGCCTCTGTATCAAAGGCTGCAAGGGAGGAGGGGGAGAAGCAGGAGCTGGAGGATGGGGAGCCAGATTAAAACCCGGTTTCCTCCAGCACTAGCTGCGGTGCCGCATCCCCCACCACTGCCTCTATCAGAGGCAGTCACACGAGGGGAGAAGAGTTCCAGGGGAGGCTGGTGTCCTGTCTGCAGGGAGCCTGGCCCTGCTGCAGGCAGAGGCTGCTTCACAGCAGCAGCCCTTGCCCGCGGTGGGCCCAGGCTTGCCACAGAGAGGCTTTTGTCTACAGGGAGCTCAGACCCACCCCCTGCAGACAGGGGCTGCTGCCAGAGCAGCACCTGCCCATAGTGGGCCCAGGCTTAGTTCAGACAGAGGCTGCTCAGTGGGAGATGGAGCAGTCTATCCACAGGGTCGCTCTGTCCACAGCCAGCTGGGGCTGCTGCGGACAGAGGCTGCATCGTGGCAGTCTCCCCACTCCTCAGAAGCCTCTCTTCACAGGGAGTTCAGACACCCCCTCCCCCCCGACCCCAAACAAGGGTTGCTGCCACCCCAGGCTGCTGGAACAGAGGCAGCAGCTCTATGAGGGGTGCTGGATTTTAAACTGGCTCCCCTCATGGACCAGTTTGCACCTGGCACCCTGCGCTGCTGCCTCTGATACAGCAAGGTGCCAGGTGCGATCTGGGGTGACAAGGCTCCCCTTGAGTGGGGGAGAGCGCACTGGCTGCCAGCTCCACCCTTAGGGACTATAGAATAGTTGACTAACCACTAAGAATTCATGTGGTTAGTCAGCTATTCCATTACCTGCTAACATCCCTAATGGTAACCAGTCATTAATTAACCAGTTTCAGTCTCTTATGATAGTGTTCTACAACACAAATCAACTTAAAGGAAAGGACGTCTGCACATCATATGTACTCTAGACTCATGTAATTCCAGTTCAAGACTTAAAAGGTGAAGGGGCCTTAAAAAAAAAAAGGAGCCAATTTCAGTAATGGCTGCCATAAAAAGGTCAAAATACTTATTCTTAAAGAGTATTCTCTCCCCTCACTAGGAAGCTAAGATCCTGTAGAACAGCAGCTCTTTGGAAAACAGACATTTGCCTATATTATTCTACACTGCAGTATTTCATTTTAAGATTTGTCATGTTTTAAGACAAAGTGATCATGTCATAGAAGATTCAGAGAAGAGCAACAAGAATGATTAAATGTCTAGAGAACATGACCTATAAGGAAGGCTGTTTAGTTTGGAAAAGAGAAGATTAAGAGGGGACATGATAGCCGTTTTCAGGTATCTACAAGGGTGTCACAAGGAGCAGGGAGAAAACTTATTCATCTTGGCCTCTGAGGATAGAACAAGCAGCAATGAGCTTAAACTGCAGCAAGGGAGGTTTAGGTTGGACATTAGGAAAAAGTGCCTAACTGTCAGGGTGGTTAAACACTGGAATAAATTGCCTAGGGATGTTGTGGAATCTCCATCTCTGGAGATATTTAAGAGTAGGTTAGATAAAGGTCTACAAGGGATGGTCTAGACAATACTGGGTCCTGCCATGAGGGCAGGGGACTGGACTCAATGACCTCTCAAGGTCCCTTTCAGTCCTAATATTCTATGATTCTGCGATTCCTAAATTTAGAAGTGTATCTTTGCAGATATTTAATTAGACACCCAGACTAATAGTAGCAGAACTGCACTGTGTCTAGATTAAAGTCAATATTTTGGCCCTTAACTTCAAAAGAATGAATTCATACAAGTTTAAGAAAATAATAGCCATACGGGGTGGCTGTGTCTACACTGGGCCACTTATTCCGGAAAATCAGCTGCTTTTCCGGAATAAGCTGCGAGCTGTCTACACTGGCCCTTGAATTTCCGGAAAAGCAACGCCGCTCTACTGTACAAAATCAGCCGCTATTCCGGAAAAACTATTCTGCTCCCGCTCGGGCATAAGTCCTTATTCCAGAACACTGTTCCGGAAAAGGGCCAGTGTAGACAGCCCAGTAGTCTTTTCCGGAAAAAAGCCCCGATCGCGAAAATGGCGATCAGGGCTCTTTTCCGGAAAAGCGCGTCTACATTGGCCACAGACACTTTTCCGGAAAAAGGGCTTTTCCGGAAAAGCAGCCTGCCAATGTAGACGCTCCTTTTCCAGAAAAACTGAAAACGGAATAGTATTCCGTTTTAAGCAGTTCCGGAAATTCATGCCAGTGTAGACACAGCCGGTCAGACTAATGGTTCATTTAACTCAATATCCTGTCTTCCGACAGTGGCTAATACCAGGTACTTCAGAGGAACTAAATAGGTCATCATCAAGTGATCCATCCCCTGATGCCCATTCCTAGCTTTTGGCAAACAAAGGCTAGGGACCCTTCAGAGCATGATTTTATATCACTGTCTACCATGGCTAACAACCATTGATGCGTCTATCTTCCATGAATGTATCCAGCTCTTTTTTTGAAAAATTAAAATCTACACCATGTAAATAGGCAATTAACTGTATTTTTTCAAGAAGATTACTACATACATGTGACCTTTAAAAATAAATATAGCATATTAACTGAATTTATTTAGTGCCAATGAAAGGTTTTAGAACAGCAGAGTGTAACAGCCTATTCATCCACAATACCAGCAGATGACCAGGAGACACACATTACAAGTTTCTTTAACGTTGTTGATGTGCCTCACCCTGATCTGGAGAAAGTTTTTCTGTGCCAATTTAACCTTCTCGTCTTCTTCAAGTGATGTCCCTATGGGTGCTGCACTGTAGGTGACTAGAAAGCAGTGCTCTAGTGGGAAGATTGGGGATTCAGAGCAGTATTTATTTCAGATAAGACAGTGTGTTCTAAGAGAGCATCTGTGGTGGAGTTGGAATGGCGTAGCGAGTGTCTGTTGACAGCAATCTGGCTGCTTTTAAAATGTCAGTAATGGGGATATTAATGAGAAAGGCAATGGAAGTGGAAACTGAACAGGTAGAATGTGCTCTAACTACAGTAGGAAGTTGATTGTGTAATTGGTGGGCTAGATGTATACACTGCAAAATCCACTTGGAAAAACATTGCTTAGAAAGATGGCTGCACCCTCAGTCACTGAAAAGAATAAATAGGGTGATTTTTTGAACGATTTGGTGCTGTCCAGGTAAAAAGCTAACGCTCGCCTAACATCTAGGGTGTGCAGTGCTACCTCCTGTTGGTTGCTAGAAGGCTTTGAGAAGAAGCAAGAAAAATGAATAGGTTGAAATGGGAAGATGATGGAGCGCTGGGGAAAAATCTTGGATGTTGGCTAACTTTGCCTTTATGAAAAAGTATGTATGGGGGAATGTGTCATAAGGGCCAAAATTTTGCTGACCTATTGGGTGATGACGACAAGAAAAGCAGTTTTCACTGATAAGTACATGCGAGGGCACATGCCCTTAGTGCAAAGACGTCTAATAAGAGAAAATAGGATGAGGCTCAGGTCACATCTCACATGAAGAGTCTTCAAAATCTTTATCCTTCCATGAGGGATGTGGAGAGGGAATGGCCATTTATGTACCGTATTTTCCGGCGTATAGGGCGACTGGGCGTATAAGACGACCCCCTATCTTTTTAATTAAAAGATAGGGTTTCATCTTATACCCCAGCGCCCTTCCGCCTCCTTTGCTCCCGGTGTCCCTGGTCTGCTGGAGATGGTCCCCAGCAGACCAGAGGCACCGGGAGCAAAGCCGCCAGGAGCGCCTGGGGTATGTGAAGTTTTTACCAGCTTTCTGTTCTCTGCTGTTCCATAAATGGATGCAGGATAAAGCTATTCAATTAAGATAAGGTACCGTATATTGTTCAGAAATATATTATGTCCTTTTAAAGGTACATTTCTGTATTCTCATCTTTTTTTGAAGTTTTCTTTGTCTTTCTTTGAGGGGATGGTTAGAGGGAAGGAAAAAAAGCTCTGGTTACTGGCTCTCATTCAGCTCAGAAATATTCTTTGCTATGCAAAAAGTGTTTTTAAAACATAATATATTAAAATACTATGTGTACTTCTTTTGACCCCAGCTTCAATAGTAGTATAAATATATCATATTTCCATTAATAGTGTTAATCCTCTCCTTTTGTTTGAGATCTAAATTTTGACCACTTTGACCAAAGACAGAAAACAGAATACCTATTACAATACAGTAGATCTATTGTATTATACAATTCATGGCTCATGAATGAAGACAGACTTACAATTTTAATCACTCCTATTCCAGACATCCTAAATTCCTTCTTTATTTGCATAAATGATTTGCACAGAAGAAAATATGTTTTTAAAATGTCCCATATTTGCCCACCTATAGTTCCTCTGCATTACAGTATACATTACTACATAAACATTAGATAATTTGTCCTCATAACACCTCATAACATAATAAATTATCTTCATTTTATAGGTGTAGAGAGAAGTCACTCACTGGTACTAGAGATTGCAACTGAACCCAATTCTTGAACCCAATTCTTGTGTGTCCTAAACCAGAGCAAGACTCTAATCACCAAGTCACCTTCACCTTCCAAGAAATTGAAAAACACAAGTTTGAGCACTTTGCAATATGCAATAATTCAGTGACAATCTATAATAGCTCTGATATGCACCAAACTGCAGCACCTCTGGTACTTTCAACATTAAGGTCTGTACAGTGAACAGTGGTCTGATTGCATCCTTGCCATCATAAACTTCTGGTCCTAGAAAAAAAATGTTACTTCTCTGTTC